TTTCAGACCGCCTTGTAGACTTTGGCCAAAACCCGTGTTCCAACTAGTCCGTCTAACGCGATGAAGGACTGGTGCTTGAATTTTTCCGCAATCCTACTCATGCGGTTGCGGGGAATTTACACAATTATCGGGTTGAACTAAAAATTCTTATTCAAAATGTATTACTAGTTTTAAACGTTACTCAACTAAGAGGAAAAAATTTTCATTTCGCCATTACAACTGATCGCATTACTCATCTTCATAACGCGGAGTTTTCGATTTTGAGCGTAGCTGTTGACACCGCCTGGGCCTCCTCATCACCTCCGATTGGAGTCGACATGTTGACAGGAGCTCGTTTAGTTGACATGTATTCAGCCATTTTTGCTTAAGTTGGGAAATGAGTGGCAATTGAATATTTGCACAATCATTCACTTTCTCATAGTCTTCAAGCTCAAAAGGTATTTTCACTCCGAATGAACTTGAGTGCTTCGCGGTCTCGACTTGGCCGAAATTAAGCTCATCATCAGCTCCAGTGGGACTCGAACGGCGTGTCATCTCGGCTCGTTAAGCCCTAAACAACATAGACTGTCTACAGCTCCCATATCGCATCAACTGCTGGTCTCGAAGACCTACTTCTGAAAGGTCGAATGCAAAGTTCACTCATCCACAATCCCGTCACAACACGTGAATTGGTCTTGCTCGAAATGCACATCTGCTCTGTAACCGGGCCGCGATCGTGGCGATCTGGCGGAGTCGTCAACGTGTCGAGAGTGTCTGCTGCATTGTCATGGTTTGAGTCCCGCCGGCGGTGCTGATGAGACCAGTTCGAGGCAGGTCGAAACTGTACTCCACTCGAGCCGAGTTGAAGATACCACTTTGGTAGCAGGACTATGGACTGCAACCAAACAGAAGGTTTTCATGTTTAGGGAATATGTGAAATTGAATGGAACCATGAGGTTTATCACATCGGGTTGTGGGAAAATTGAATTAACAATCCACTTGACAGCTGACACGAAATGGCGTGAATTCTATTCGCATCTACAAACCAAATGTAAGCTACTTCAGCATCAACCGATGAATGGATTGTTCGAGAACCGACCGAAAGCCAACCAACTGAACTACCACAGCTGTACCGGTCATGCAAGTATTGGACCAAAATAAATTCACTTATGGCTTATCAAAACAAGAAACATGTACAGACAAAGTCATACGACAATTGGTCATAAACGCAAATGAAATAAAAAAGATTTTTTTCTCCAAAAAATGGGTGAGTGGAGAAAAGCAACACGATTGCCATGAAACAACAAATAGCGCCATTTTGCTGTTATTCGGCATCATTTTTACCGTTTCGAGTGAAAGTGTTGCGTGAAGAGATTGGAAGGTCGCTTCCACCAGAAGACGACGGCCGATTCCTTTTGACCAGCTGTCGATTGGCTCTACTGGAACATGCATGCTGACGCTGTTTCCGAGGCAATCTTCTTCGATTCTGCTGACTCGTTTGCTTGAATTCGATTGTGATGATGATAGCCTCGATGCTCTGATGATGCTGGTCACATGATGGACGAAAGCTTAGCACCTTTTAAACGGAATCGAGTGAGATTGCCTCGGAAACAGCGTCAGCAAGAATGTTGCAGTAAAGCCAATCGACAGCTGGTCAAGAGGAATCGGCCGTCGTCTTTTGGTGGAATCTCTTCACGCAACAGTTCCACTCGAAACGGTAAAAATGATGCCAAATAGCGCCATTTTGCTGTTATTTGGCATCATTTTCACCGGCCTGGGCGGACCAAGTGACTGGGCAAGAAGACCGAGTGCCTGTTGCTTCCAGTTTGGTGGCAGAAAAGTGGTTTGACCTCGTTTTTCACCATTTTGCTGCGTTGTCAGGGCCACTTTGAGCACCAGGCCGAGCTTGAAGACGGCCAAATGTCGCTTGTATGCTCCAACCGGTCCTCGTTGCTCGGCTCGACCAGTTCGGCCAGAGTGCTTTCAGCCCACATCACCATGGCAACACGAAGCAGTTGTCAAACGAGGAGGTCCAGCCGGTAGAAGAGACGACAGTTCGAGTTGGCGTTGCCAAACGCCATTTGCCTCGCTTCTTCCGCAAGCTTGGCAGGCGCGTGCGTTGGCCAGTCGTCTTGCTTGGCACCGGCACACGAACAGACGACACAAAAGGGCACACTCGTGCAGACGTTGGGCGTTGTGGAGAGCAGTTGTAGTTGGCCAGTTTGGGGTTGATTGAAGAAGGCAAGTGACAAACTTGAAAGGTCTGACTCAATTTGACGACGAAAAGGTGAAAAATGGAATGGTTTTGAGCAATTTCTGCACTCGAACTTCACCAGACACGCCAGTTGCCATTGCCCCTTTTCACACTCTTGCCAGCTCGAAGTGCTGGGAGAGATGCATGCCTGTGTGTGTGTGTGTGCGTGTGTGTGTGTCGATAATTAAGAGGAACTGCAAAGGGATGTGAATGCACACGCAAAAGTCGAGCTGGGTGTGAATAAGGATGTGGATTTTGATGCTAAATTGTGCATGTTGATATTTAAAAATCATCTTCCACATGATTCGAATGTTAATGTTCAAGTGGATGTGGATTTAGAAGATGATTTCAAGTTACATTCAACTGTGGATGCGGAAGTTTATGCGCCTGAATGTGTACTCGTGTGTGTGTGTGTGTGTATGTGTGTGTGGACAGTGATGTTAATTTTCGCATGTGGATATGCGAGAGAATGTGCAAGCTGATGAGAATATGATTGCGGAAGTGGACATAAAAGTTAATGTCGATGTTGAAATGGCATGTGTGCATGCCAATGTTAAGCTGTGCGTGTGTGTGTTTGTGTGTGTGTGTTGATATGAAAGCGGATGTGCAAGATGATGCGAATGTGAACGTGCTAGTGTGGTAATCGTAAGTGGTGGATTTCGTCAACTGGTCGTCGGCTCGGAGACCTGTGATACCGATCGGTGCGAGCTCATCGTTCGTCTGTCCCGTCGCGACGAACGTCGAGACAACGAGAACACGTGGCGAGGCATAAAGGCTACCGGTCGAGTGGACTCTGAGAGCGGGTGACTGGTTGCCGCGAGTTGTGCAATCGCGATCAAGCGTCCCATGACTTGGGACGGATTCATTTCTCGTCACGCATGCACACAATACACATACAGCCATGAGCTTCTGCTGGCCTAGTCACTTTATTTCTATTGAGAAAAAACTGTCATCACATGCACATGCACATGCTCATGCACATTCATCTCCACTTACAACTCAATTACCACTTTCACATCCACATCTTCAAATCGGTAAAGGCATTCACATTTACATTCATTTGCCCATTCACCTCCGTCTCGACGTTTGCACACTTGCACACTTGCACACTTGCACACACGCACAAACAGGGAGTGGGTGTAAAGAGGGTGCAAAGAGGTTAACAAAGACGGCGACGGCGACCGATCCTTCTCTCGACGGCGGCGCCTCGGGGGCTGGTGAAGCGCTGTCGCGTCAGCCAGTG